CCCGGGGACCCCTCCTCCCCCACCCTCCATCCCCTCAAATCCCAGCCTGTGATCTCCAGGTCTGACAAACTGCCCTGTCCCCATGTGTCTGAGGGGCCCTTGGTCCCTGCCCTCTGAGGTGGTTCTGGGTCATTCCCAGGAATGCTGGGACCAGGAGTGAGTGCTGTGCATGTGGCCCCGCAAAGCCACCTGTTTGCCATCCCTGGGCCAATGGCCAGAGGCCAGTCCAGCAGCCACACTGCCCAGTGTGTTGAGCTCCACCTCTGCGTCCGGTCACGTTCATGGCTCACCCTGTCCACAGTTCCTGCCTCCCCACCCCGGGGCATGAAAAAGCCAGGTTTGGTTCTCCTTCCCATCCCCAGCGACCCAGTGGCCAGCTCCAGCTGTCCACCCCTTTTCTGGGAACACCCCGTCCTGTCCCTCACTGGCCCTGATGCCTGTCCCAGAATCCTCTTGGAGAGTTAAAAATAGAGCTCGCATTTCACTCTGTGGTCTTTGCTGATGTATATATTTGAATTCTTGATTGAATTCAAGAATTTTTATTTGGGGCTAAGAGTGACCTGGGTCAGATCTCTCCCCCTGTGTGACTCATGAAAATGGACTCAGGCTAAGCTCTCGTTCTAGAATCTGGGAGCAGAGATGGATTGAACATCTGCTCCGGTCATACACTCTCCATATCTTCTCTCATTGCGCATGCACAGCAAGCCCGACAGGTAACTATGGTCGTTCCTGCACAAATACAAGTACATCCCTGTAAAGGTGCAGCCCAGCCGAAGGTTGTCGGGGTCGCACCACAGCAGGAAAGGAGAAGGTGTTGTGAACAATCCATAATTATTGGTCAATAGCAATTATGTGCCTCATTACTTATCCTGATGAAATCGCCTTGATTTCAACAACCAACGCCTGATAGAAGCTGAGTCAGATCCCCACCGTCAACTCCGCACCCAGCTCCCCTCTGGAAAGTGGGGGAGGGGAAGCCAAGTAGAAATGTGTCTTTGCCCCACATAGACAGTGTCTTTTTCTCCTGAACATCTGCACAAGACAAGAAGAGGCCCGTAGAAGAGCCCAGATCTGTACCCAGCACCATCCCAGGGCCATACGAAGGGCTGCCCCCAAGTCCTCCTGACTGCTCGGCGGTGGCGAGTTGACATTGCAGAAAGCATGAGGAAAGATATGGAACTTAGAGTCTCCAAGCACCTACTCCAATGAGTCTGGGCCACAGACTCCTAACAGGCTACTATTTTTTGTTCCTTTTCTGTATCTCATGATAGCCACAAGAATAAACTTAAACACCACTACCACTGTGGAAGGTAGAGCTGATTGCCTGGAAAAGGCACCCTGCTCTGCTTGGGGTTACTCTCCTTATGAAGTAAATGTGGGAGCCTATGCCTTCTCCGCCTCAATAAAATTCCATGGACCTCAGGCCACAAGGGCAGGGCAGGGGAATGAGATCAGTGAAGGGCACACCAGCAGCTCTTATTCTTTGCAAAACACTGCTAGGCCCTAGGCATGCAGTTCCTGGCTGATTTCGTTGGCCTCTCCAAAGAAACATTCAGTCTCGGGCCTGGGATCATTCCCCGAGGCACGTTTCTCCCTGCGCAGCTCATGGCACCGTTGGGTGGGGTAATAAAGGGTCTGTTTACAATATTCTATTTCTCAAGACCGGAGGGGCGGTGTTCTGGACTCCTCACCACTGATCAATTTTTCAGTCTGCTGCTTTATCTACCTGACAGGAAAACTTGAACTTCTGCCATTTCTAAATTGCACTTCTAAATATTGACTCAATGGCGAGACTCAGAGTGTCATAACACAGCTCACTGGAGCAATGAAGGTTTTCCAGGCCTCATCGAGGGGTCTGCGCAATGTCCTGGGGGAGTGGGCAGGGAAGAGGAGCATCTGGGAGGAAAAATAAAATCAAGTCATGTTTAGAAGAAACGCCACCGTCCTTCGCTTCATCTTGCTGAGACAGATGAACACTCGCTGTGCTATTCGCTGTGGCTGGAGGGGACCAAGGGGAAGGGAGAGAAGAGAGCAGTGACCCTTAACCCCTCAGCTGTCAGCCAGTGAGGATGGAAGGTGCCCGAGCTGTCCTGGCCGAGCCTGGCGGGGGGCCTTGGGAGATAGTGGGCTCTCAGACAGCCTGTATTTGTGTGTCCAGTTTAGGACTGGACAGTGTCTAGAAAACGAGAGACTCTTCACCCAGTTTCTATCAAGACTTCGACGCGGCTGGATCCTTAGCAGACCCTCCTGTAGGGCACCGAGGAGATTCTAGGAGGCTATCTTTTTAGCTTCTTTCCTCCCGAGAGTTCACACTATACACTGAGCTCAAGATGTCCCATCGCATTTGCTGTTGAACTTTGTGAATCAGAGGGAGCGACTGGCCCCTGCTTGCCCTTTGAGGAGCTGCTTTGGGGGAACAACAAGCTATTTCACACGCAAATTAGCTTGAGGTATTTTGGATGCTCAGTGATATGTAAATTCGAGCTGCTTCTGGCAGGTAAGGAGCCAGCTCTCCAGGAGGAGAGGGAGGGTGATGCTTTGCACCTGCTCACAGAGAGCTCATGACACAGCGCTGAGCTAACCAGGGCCGGGAGATAGCCCGTGGCATCGGCCGTGCTCACCTGGATGGCCCTTGGGTTTGTCCTAAGGTGGCCCCTGAGGCAGCGTGCCCAATGTGTCCTCTCTCCTATGTCTGTGCATGTGGGCCCTTGTGTCTGCTGACAATGATTTCTGAGAACGACCTCAAGCGGCAGCACCATCTTCTGGCTTCAGGCCTCACCGCATTGGGCTGGACCATGAGCCTGGCTCCTCCATGAGGCTGACCAGCTTGGCGGATGCCCTGACTTGTCTCCTGGATCTCAAGTCCAACCTCGTGGATTGCTGAGTCTCTATTTAAGGTAATGGAGTTCTCCGAAACCTTTCCTTGGCTCAAAACCTTATCGTGTCAGCCAAGGTAGCTGCTATGGGCACAATCCCAGTGTCTTCTGAGAAAACTCGAGCATTCCCCCTGAAACGGCATCCGCAGCAGACCCAGCCTGTGTCTGCCGCTTCTTCTGCCCCGTTTTGAACTCACCCAGCCTGCTCCAGCCTTTCACAGGCTCACCTGTAAGCGCCAGTCTCTGCTCCGTGGCCGCGTCCAGGGCACCCTCCCTGGCATGGCTCTCCACCGTCTCCATCTGTGTGTGTTCTCCCCTGCAAGAGCTGGCCTAGCCTGAGGGCCCCGAACAGCTCTCCCCGGGACCACCTCCATCCAGCATCTCCCAAACTCCTGCTGGAGGCCCACATCCTCAGTGTGGGCCATCGGCGATTCAGCCTTGGCTTGCTCACCCCTCCCTCCACCTTCCCCCGTCCCC